ATCGCTGGTAATGCTTTGCGGTATTCCCTATGACTTTACCATGTTGCAGTGAAAGAGCCTTGCATCGACAGTACTGTATGTGGGAGTAGCAATGAATTTTGCATGCTTGTTAAACCTATCCACTACGAACAGGATGCTTCCAAATCCATCTGACTTTGGAAAGCTGGAGATGAAGTCCCTAGAGATGCTCTCCCATGGTCTCCGAGGGATAGGTAGTGGTTCCAACAACGCCCTTGGTTGTTGAAGGACAACATTGTCTTGTTGGCAAAGAAGACATGACAAGTACGAACATATTCTTCTACCCCATCCTTCATCCTTGGTCAATAATAATTTGCTTTTAGAAGTGTTAGGGTTCGTTTCTTATCTGGATGTCTCGACCATAAAGAGTCATGACATTCTTTGATTAGCTCCTTTCTTAAGTTGCCCCACCTTGGTACGTAGATGCATCAGCCTTTAGTATAGATGATATCTTCATCTATCTAGAACTTTTTGGTTTTTCCTTCCTTTACTAGAGCGATAACACTTTGGGCTTGTGGATCAAAGTTCATGACATTCTTTGATTAGCTCCTTTCTTAAGTTGCCCCACCTTGGTACATAGATGCATCAGCCTTTAGTATAGATGATATCTTCATCTATCCAGAACTTTTTGGTTTTTCCTTCCTTCACTAGAGCGATAACACTTTGGGCTTGTGGATCAAAGTTCAACCCTACTTTGATTCTGCTTATGAGGGAGCTGGAGACTTGTAAAATGCTTGCAAATTCTGCTTTTAGGCTTAGTGTGTCTGCTACTACATTGGTTTTGCTTGGTTTATACTCTAAGATGTAATTTATATTTCGCTAAGAAATTCTGTCATCTTGCTTGCTTAAGACTTAGCTTCTTCTGGGTCTGAAAGTAGCTGGTGATGATATTATCTATCATGACCCCAAATTTGGAGTCGATTAGGTAATGTCTTCATACTCAGGCAATATATGATGGTCGTCATCTCTTTTTCCTTAACTGTCTCATTAAATTTCCAACTTTCATAAACAATTGGATGTCCGTCTTGCATGAGTACTCCACCTATAGCTATGTCAGAAGCATCATTGTGCGCTTCATATACCTTAGTATGATCAGGAAGGCTAAATACGGGCTCTTCTCTGATTGCCTTCTCGAGGTCTTCAAATACTTCATGCACCTGTTATTCCATTCCCATGACTTATTCTTCTTGAGTAGTTTTGTCAACGGAGCAGCTCTTGCAGAATAGCTTTTAATGAATCGTCGATAGTAGTTTACAAACCCCAGAAATGATCTTCGCTCATCTACCTTGGTAGGATGCTCCCAATCTTGGATGACATTGATCTTGCTTTCTTCAATCATAAGCTTTCCATCAATTATTTTATGCCCTAAGAATATCACTTGTTTGGCAAAGGAGCATTTTTCTTTTTTGATGCATAGTTTATTTTCTCTAAGTACTTTGAATGCCTCTCGGAGGTGTCTCGGGTGATCTTAGAGTGTGTTGCTATACACCACTATGTTATCCAAGTAGACAGCAATAAACTAATCCAAGTATGGTTGAAATAGTTTGTTCATCAAGGTGCAAAATGTAGCAAAAGCGTTGGTTAGGCTAAAAAGCACAACAAATGGTCTTCGGTTCATCTCCCTCTACTATCCTCACTTGATAGTAGCTTAACCAGAGATCAAATTTTGAGAAGTATCTTGCACTCGCCAGTTAATCAAAGAGATCGACGATAAGAGGAATTGAGTATTTGTTCTTCACGGTAATTTTATTTAATGCCCTGTAGTCTATGTGCGCAGGGAATCATCTTTCTTCTTCTGAAATAGAATTGGAGCACCATATGGGGCTTTAGATGGTGAGATGAGTTCTGCCTACAACAACTCCTTCAATTGTTTACGCAGCTCTACAAGCTCTGGAGGTGCCATGCGGTAAGCTCCCATTGCTGGTGGCTTAGTCATTGGCTCCAACTCGATCTGGTGATTGATTTCCCTTCTTGGTGGTAGTTTTTTTTGGCAATTATGGTGGTGAAACATCTTTAAACTCTTGAAGTACTGCCACCATTTCTCTTGACATGTCTTCTTGGGGCTTCAATTCTTCATCGGGGTCATGAAGAATAGCCAAATAACTCTGTTCCCGTCGGATGCCCTTCTTGAATTGAAGTGTCGATAGAATTTTTACTTCTTGCCTCCTAGTCCTTGATGTTAGTACTAAGCACGCTTGATTGCCCTCCATGATGCATATGCTATTGGTAAATGATATTAGAAATGCTTTCCATTGGTCCAAGAATTCTAGACCAAGGATTACCTTGAATTCATTCATAGGAATGATGGAGAAATTCAGCATACCTAACCAATCTTCGACGTAGGTCTTCACTCCTCCGGCCATTACATGAATTGGCCTAGTCGCTGAGTTGACTGGTTTGATGGAGCCCCCTCTTCTGGTTACCTGCAGACCCATCCTTTTTGCTTCTTCAATAAAGTTGAAGTTGTGAGAAGCTCTCGCATCTATCATTGTTTTAGTAGGTGTCCCACCTATAATCACTTCCACAAAGAGAAGTCATTTTTCCAGGGTTTTTGGAGAGGAGTGCACTGCTTTGAGCAGTTGCATTGTTCCCACTTGTGCTGCCGTATTGGTTCCTTCTTCCTCTTGATGGCTTGTAAGAAGAGAGTTCAAAGCATTCTTCTGAGGGCAATCCCTTGCCTAATGAAGTCCTCCACAAAGAATGCAGTTGTTGTGTGGTTTACTTTTGTTGTTGTTCTTGGACTTTATTTTGTCTTTTACCTTGGATGGGGTTGATTGGCGATGTATCTCTTCCTTCTCTTGATTGATGTCTCCCCCACTTTTAACATAGTTGCTCTTCTTTTCCCTTGGCTTTGTAGACTCTTTTGTATCGTCAACCAAGCTTTCCGCGACAGCGATGACATTGGCAAAATCTTACGCTCCACACCTCCTAAGTTCAGCCTTCGTTCACTGTTGGTATCCATCCACGAAGTTGAATAGAGCATCCTTGTCAGACATGTCAGAAATTTCAAGAACTAGGTTAGTGAACTCTTTAATATATTCCCGAATCCATCCTGTTTGCTTGAGGTTTCACAATCGGGCTCTAGCTTCATCCTCTACGTTCTCGGGATAGAACTGCTTGTTTAGCTCCCTTTTGAAGTTATCAAAGGCGGATATGGTGAACACACTTTTCTCGGTGTCTCCACGTCTTCTTATCCACCACAACATAGCGATATCTGAGAGATAAAGAGATGCAAATTATATTATTGTCTCTTCATCCGTAGTCTCCATCGCTCCGAAGTATTGGTCGAGTCCCATAGGAAGTTGTCTTCTTTCTTTGCGTTGTGAGCTCCCCTAAAACTCGTATGTTTTGGTACATCGATGTGTTTGGCCTCACAAGTATGATTGTTGGTGGATGTTGCTAGTGCCTTCTTGCATTGCAATATTTATCTACGCATCTCTTCCAAGCTAGCACGTACGCCACTCGTCTCGTCTTCATGGGCACTTCGTACCTCCCGGAGCTCCCCAATCAAGTCCTTTCACATTTTAGTCATTTGGTCCCTTAAAGACTCCTCTAGTTGGAGCATCATACCTCCGATCGTCGAATGGATTGTGATATCTTCCTCCTTGAGTCTATCAACCTTCTGGCCAAGATACTCTATCCGGGCCTCCATGCCTTTCACCACTGCCTCCAACCGACCAAGGCGCGAACTCCTTGAACCTCCCATGTGGTTTGGATGTAGCCGGATCTCGTTGCTCCTGAATACCTTGTTGAGATGATTCCACATTAGTGGCATGGGACTCCATTATGTGCTCTCCAACACTTGTCATACCTTCAAACCTATCTCTGATACCAATTGTCACAGACTAACTTATCCTAAGTCGCATGTGTGGCTTTAACGCTCGTTAACACTAAATCAACTTAACTCTAACAATGTTAGGACTGATAGCACACAACACCCTTGGAAGAAGAATAGGGAGTAGTATTGGAGAAAGAAAGAACTTCACTAAGAAAGAGTGATTATAATACTTGAATGCTTGAAACCTTGATTGGATCCAAATGAGGTGGAGGGACTCCTATTTATAGTCCCCTTCAGGCCTAAGAGAATATTCTAGAATAGTATAGTTTCTAGATAGTTCTACACCATTCTTTTATATATATGTACATAGCCCTAGATCCTTCTAAATTATTCTCTGAGTCCTTTTTCCTTCTAATATTCTCTAGAATGTGGTAGTCTTTTAGAGTTACTTGAGTTGCTCTCCTTCATCTGACCTTTTTTAGAATCTTTCATCCCATGGTTTTCTTGACAATTTCTTTGGAGATGATAGAGAGTGACATACTGGTCACCCTCTTTCACATTTATTTAGCATAAAAAGGCGGTATATTTGTCAATATCTTAAATTTATTATGAAGTGTAATTTCCTTATATCCTCTTTTTGAAATTGACTGGATTTTTTTATCTGTGCGTTTGTAGATGTATAGATCTCATCAAATTACATAAATTTATTTTTTTTTGGATTTTATTGTCATTGTGAATTTTTTTTTTTCAGTTGTTTTGTTTTGCTAATTTTATACTACTAGATCTACCCAAATAGGCTTCATGCAGGGTAAATTTTTAGAAACATAAAAGAGTGTTCGGCCTAAGAAGGCTTAAGCAAAATTTGAACAAAGGGATGTTTCCCAAAGTTGAATTACTAACCAAACAAAAACCAATAAATGATCAAAGCGGGGCATTAGAAACCATCCTTGCACCTAATTCAAATTATTCTAATCGTTTTATGAGATTAAATTTATCAGGAAAACATTTACAACAATTACAATTTAAAATACACGCCTACAATCAGTTGCTTGGTTGCATTAGCTTTTGGAAATAGAATATTTTTGAGATGAAGACAGGTTATTTTTGTAATGAATTTTTTAATAGGGTTTCTGGGATTTGGCTTCTACAACTTTCACGAATATAAAATCCTGGCTTTTTACTTATGTCAGTTGCTCTTGTGCAGGAGGAGCGCATTTCTATTATCAAACAAATGCAGATTTCGGATGCATTGAAGCTAGAAAATAAGAAGTTGCATGAACAGTGAGTAGAACGAAACATTCTGTTATCGCATGTGCCTTTTACACATTTTTATGCATTTTTTGTTTTGTTGAATTTTTTAGTAGTAACATTCTCTATCTCTAGCCTTGCAAAGATATGACTTTTTTTAGAGTCCCCCAAAAAAAAATAGAGCTGAAATTTGTGCAAGGGATTTACATTATCACAATATCCTTACTTGTATTTGATCAAGTTGGATCTTAAAATCATTACATTTATTTTGGTATTAGTATAATATAAGTTTTGATTTATTAGTTATTTTTAACGTTCATCTCAAGGTTAAATCCATTAACTTAGAGAATCATCATGACCAAATTTCTTTTATAAAAAATTTTTCAAGAAATAATTATGCATTAAGATTTTAAAAGTTTGGATGAGAATTTGTTGTTGCTATTTTTTTTAGGCGCTCCGAGTATGAAGAGACAGAGAAAGAACTTTTGCTCAAGGTATGCATTTTTAACCTCTTTAAACTCATCCACCATTCGCAAATGTACACTGGGATTTAATTATTTGCATCCCCTACTAATCAAAGATTACCTCTAAACTGTTTTCGCAGTTTCAGCAGCTCCCTAAACTATTATTTGATGCGTAAAAGCGCTTGAGCTTGAACAGGATCAAATGTTTTTTCGTTAGGCGCACCTAGTAAATGAGCCAACTATTTTTGTTTATTTGGCTTCTTTATTTATCAAGCTAGATACAACAAAGCTATTTAAAATTTTATAGAATATAAATGTCCTTTTACATACACACACATATACATATTTATATAGAACAAGCTTAATTAAAAAGATTTATCCACTCTTCTAATTGAGTTTGTTCGTTCGTTACTTTTTTAGTGAAAGCCTTATCTAATATTAAGTCTTAATCAAATTTTTTAATGAGGTTGTTCACGAGCTTAAAGAAATATGCAATAATGCATGCATGCATGTATGCATGTATGTTAGAGGTGTTCACATAACTCCGCCATTTACAAAGCCATTGTTAATTGGAAATGAACTATCAAGTTTCTTCTAGTACTTAACAATAAACTAGATTAAGTCAGAAGAAAAATAATGGGAATCAAACTTCCTCCTTCAATTCGTGAAGCATTTGCTGAAGTTCGAAGTGAGGAGAGCAGGAAGAAATTCATGATAGCATATAATTCCACTACATCAATTGTAACTCGACTTATACACTCACAAATAATCTCTGGACAACAAATCAAATAGGAATTGACCGTGATGTGAATTGCAAGAAGTTTGGTCATCTAAAGGAGAAGGGGAAATTTTATGGAAAGCCTGCAGATTGGAAAGACAAACGCAACGTCAAAGAAAGATAAGTTGCATGAACATAATCCATTTAATAAGGAACAACTTGAAGCTCTCAAAAGGCTTTTGGGATAATATTCTGTGCCTTCTGCCAGCCTTCTAGCATATCAAGGTAGTTTTCCATTTGCTCTTGTTACTCTCAACATGAAGAATCAACCTTAGGAAATTCATGAGCATTTGATCACATGACATGTGATATTACTATTTTCCACTCCTTCCATTCTTGCAATCACTATACTGCAATTAGGACTGCAGATGACATTATTCTTCAATATGTTCTTTATGTTTCTAAACTTAACAACAATTTACTATCTATCAAGAAACTTACTCATGACATGAATTGGGTATAAAATTCTACCCTATTTTATGTGAATTTCAAGTGATGTACTCAGGAAAGGTGATAGACAGTGCTGACACGTATCATGGACTTTATCTGCTCACTAGGTCTCTCATTTCAAATGAACCTTCTTATCATTAACAATTATTTGAGTCAATTCTTGTATCTGAGTTTATTTCTCTTGAGAGTCAAGTTATGTTATGAGATTTTCGTATTGGGCATCCTAACTTCTATTAGACTAAAAAACTATATCTCTATTTGTTTATTAATAAAAACTTAGTTCTTATTAGCATAAAACGTGCCAACTTGTTAAATATACTTGACAAGTGTACCCAAATTTGAAATGCAAACCAACACATCTCTTTTCCATGGTTATTGCTAAACATATTTGACAAATTTACCCAATTTGAAATATAAACCAACACATCTCTTTTCCATGGTTTATAGTGATACCTGGGGGCCCTTAAAAATAAAAATATACAAATGGAGTTAGGTGGATTGTTATTTTCATTGATGATCACACCAGTACTACTTGGATCTTTCTCATGACAGAAAAATCTGAAATTGTCAGCATATTTGAAACATTCCACAACTTGATTCTCACCCAATTTTAGGGCTAAGTGCAACTACTTAAAACTGATAATGCAAAAGACTACTACAATTCTACTCTCTACCCTTCTCTATCCAAAAATAACATCATTTATTTAAGTTCTTGTGTTGACACACCCTAATAAAATAGCGTGGCTAAGAAGAAGAACAAACATCTCCTCGAAATGGCCTGTTCAATTCAATTCTCTAACAACATACCCAAACACTTCTGAGGGGATGCAATTTTCACATCCACTTAACTTATCAATAAGATACCTAACAAAGTGCTAAACTTTAACAAATCTCTCAACACCCTCATAAAATTCTACCCCGACATTCAGTCATTGACTTCTACCCTAACACTAAAAATGTTGGGTTGCATCACTTTTATTCATCTACATCAACTGCATTAGATCGTACTTGATCTCTGGTCAATTAAAATGCATCTTTGTGAGTTATTCTTCAAACAAAAAAGAGTATAAATACTACTCTCTAGAATTACAAAATTTTTACAATTCCATGAATGTCACATTCTTTGAAAGTTAACCATATTATCCCAAATCTACTATTTAGGGGGAGAGTTTTGATGTGAATATCAGATTTGGGTACCACTCATGAACTTCAAGCTCCCCTTCCTGGTATCCTTGATGAACCCTCTCGTGTTCATTATCTCTAATCGGCTTGAAAATAAACATACTACTCCACTAAATCCTCCCACAACTCTCACCAAGCACCAAGAACTTCGTGCAACAACAACAACAACAACAAAGCTTTAATCCCACTACGTGGGGTTCGACTACATGAATCTTTTTTCTCCATTACGTCCTATTTAGTGTCATATTTTCATTTAGTTCTAATAAATTAAGATTTTCATTTAGTTCTATTTCATTTAGTTCTAATAAATTAAGATGATTTTTTATACAATAAGCCCAAGTCTTTTTAGGTCTACTTTTGCCGTTCTTAACATCTACTCTCCTAATCGGATCATCATATGGTCGACATTTAATGTGATCAAACCATCTAAGATGACTCTCTCTAAATTTGTTCGTCACTGGAGCTACACCAACCCTATCACTGATATATTCATTTCTCATTTTGTCTCTAACTGTAAAGCCACTTGTCCACCTAATCATTCTCAACTCTACGTGTACACCAAAAGAAAGAAAAAAAGAAAAATTAGTGAACATGTTTGGGATAATATACAAAATGAATCATGTTACCCCCAAATCTACCATTCAAAAAGAGTGTTGGAGAGAATGTCATATTTGGGGTACCATTCATGAACATCAAGCTTACCACGCTAATATCCTTGATGAACCTACCCACTCTTATCCCAATTATCACAAATCAACTTGAAAATGAACCTACTACACTAAATTCTCCCATAACTCCTAGCAAGGTCGAAGAAATTTGTGTACACCGAAAAGAAAGAAACTTAGTGAGCATGTATGGAACAATATACAAAATCAGGAATGCAAATCATTGAAATCAACTCCACACATCCTAAGTACTCGCACAAAGGTTGGGTCAACATCATGGGCACGAAGAGGGAGGAGCAATAAAATGCACAGAACACCTGATAAAAAAAATGTGTCCTATAAAAAATTATCCACTTACAAATCTTTTGTTCAGAGCTTGGATAATGTGCACAACCCAATTTCAATCCAAGAAGCCTTATCTATTTTCGATTGAAAAATGTTGTGGACGAAGAGATTTTTGCCTTTGAAAAGAAAGATCCCTGAATCATAAGAACTATGCCATTTGAGAAAAGAATTGCAGGGTCTAAATGGGTATACACTGTTAAATACAAAGCAAATGAGTATAGAAAGACTTGAGGTTAGACTTGTAACCAAAAAAAAAAGTTCACTCAGTCATGCGAAATCGACTACCATGAGACATTTGCACCAGTGGCGAAACTCAACACAGTAGGAGTATTGTTGTCATTGGCTATCAACTAAGGTTGGTTGTTGACTCGACCCGTAATTACACATTAATTTAACTTCCGAAAGATGACAAAAAATTTGAACTAATTTATATTTAGCGGCTAGTGTGCTAAATCGAAATGTTTTAAAATATAGAAAATAGTTTATACACTACGCAAGTATACATACCATTTCAAGTAATATAGAAATTTCTTTTAAGACCTCAGTATCGTTTCCTCAGAGAAGCGAGGTAAGAAATCCCTTAGTCTAATTATAGTTTACTACTATCAGGTCTTAGTTTGGAATGTCGATTAAAACACTTTTTTGTAACAACTACTCGTAAATGAAAATGTTAAATCTAAAGATAACTTATCTGGATAAATTAATTTGGAGAATTTTGAGATAAAGTCTACCCTTCTTGTGCAATTACCTAGATAATGTGAAGGAATAAAATATTTATAATTTAATGCAGTCAGTGAAAAATGTGAGCATACATATTCTTTACCCCTTCCTGGTGCTAGCAAAGAACATTGGCTAACTTAAGGTCGATTCTTTAACATCTCGATTCCACATTAGAATTATCTAGCCTCTCACCTCTAGATGCCTTATGCCTATGCCACTATATTGATCGAATCTCAGCGTCAGGGCACTAAACTTTAAGCCAAATTGATAAGAATCTAGTTTGTCACTCTAGAACTAATCAATTCTACGCCCACTGAAACTTACCTCCCTATTTATTTGCACTCCCTCTTAGGTGATCGCCATGGCTTTGCCCAGAATGAAGTGTGGTATTCACTAGTTGAGTGAAATCATAGCCCTCCCGAGTCATTATGTTTCTAAACGGATTTTAACCTCACAAGTGATCAGTTTGCGAAGTCAATTAAGAGCCAGTGAAAATACCATCACATTAATAAAATAAGAGAATATCTGAGCAAATCTAAATTCTTGAACATGCATTTATTTCATTGCAAATAATAATTAAAATGAAGAGAATGGCAGAAGCACTAAAAGAATTGGCAGAATTAAGTAATAAATTATGTGTCAACAAGGAATAAATGTCTGCCTACCTTCTTTCGAATGTATAGGTATGTTTACTATTCTATTAGTTTTATGCAACTATCTATCATTTAGAAACATCTAATAGAAACAGATCATTAAATTATATTTCTATAAAAGTTGCATTGTCGCCTAAACTATTTTATTAGTCAACCGATCAATGTGAGTGTACTCAAGTTGCAAGATCCTCAAGTTGCAAGATCACTGCCTCAAGTTGCAAGATCACTGCTCTCCCGAGACTTAGTTTCACATGCAATAAATTTTAATATAACTTATTGTCACTTATGTTATGTCAATGAAGCAAGGGAGATAATACTCATCACATGAAAATAAAATTAATTCTATCATAAAACAAATTTTCTTACACATGTCACTACTTCATATTAAAAGAAAAAAAAAAGTAAAGAAAACTACTTATGAAACATTGATAAAACACAATATAAAATTTCGTTTAAATCAAAGAAAATTTACTAGAAAATGTTTGCAACAATTACAAGGAAACGAAGAACAAAAAACTTAGTTTTTTCTCATCTGAAAGAAAGAAAAAAAATTTCTCCAACCAAATCTCCTGTCGATCCATGCACCGCTCATACTTCCTTGCTCATATCTCTCAAAATCCTCAAAATCTCTCATCAATCTCCTCTCATCAATCTCTCCAGAAAATGAAAAAATCTACATCTCCATAAACTCACGCCAAACTCCTAAAACACTTTCTAATAACTTCTCTAGACTCCTCTAATTACTTCCCATGAGAGGCGCCAAAAATTTGATCCAACCCGCACTTACACATATTTTTAATCTCCTTAATTATGTCAGAAAATATATCTCAATTTATTTCTAGCGGCTAGTGTGAACACTTACAATGATTTATAAATTATATAGATTTTTACATTAGGGGTACTACACAAATATACGTATCGTTTCAACTAAAATAAAATTTTCTTTAAAACCTCGGTAGCAACCCCACGAGGAATGTGGTAACTGTTAAAATCAACTTACAGTAATTTTATTTAAATTGCAATCTAAAAAGATTAAAGATTTAAAATGATATGCTTACTAAAAATTACTACTAAAAGTTCTTAAAAAGAAATTAACAATTAAATGTAAAAGTTTAGCAAAATATAATGAGTTTGGTTATTATGGAAAACTTTTCCTCTTGCAAAGAGGTTTTAATCTATGTAGGATTCAAATGATTTAAGACAAAATTAAGGTATTGTGACAAATAAAAACATACCGTATTCTTTACCCCCTCCCGATCTTGTAAAGAACTTTAGCTATAACTTAAGGCCTGTTCCTTAACAGTTCAACTCCACATCAGTGTTATATGGCCTCTCACCTCTAGATGTTCGTAGTCTATGCCATCTTAATGACCGAACCTCAACGTCGGGGTACTAAACCTCAAGCCAAATTGATAAGAATCTAATCAACTTATCTCCCTATCTGTTTGCACTCCCCCTCAGGTGATTGTGATGACTCTGCCCAAATGAAGTGTGGTATCCACTAGTTTGGTGAAATCAAAGCCCTCCCAGGTCATTATGTTTCTTAACGGATTTTAACCTCACAAGTGGCAAGTTTGCAAAGTAAATGAATATTTGGTAAAGATACCATCACAATTTTTAAAAGTAAAAAAGAAATCTTTAAATCATTCTCATCCCACAACATTAAGTTTCATATACAAGAAGAAAGATAGAGAACTACTCAGAATTCATTGAGATTAAACAAAAATAAAAAATTTGCATTGAAATCAAGTCTTACAACAAAAACTCCCAAGTCTTACAACAAAAACTCAAACACAAATACAAATTACCTTATGTCTTCTCCCCAAGCAAACTTCTAGAGTTTTCTCTAAGCAATCTCCAAACTTTTTCAAACTAAATCACACTCACACTTACAAATGAACACAAAATATGTAAAACTTAATTCACTATTGCCGCCCAATTGAAGTTTTGAGGCTCCAAGAGGTCTCTATATTCGGCCAAATCTTTCTCATTAAATAGAAAATAGAAAATAATCAAGGGTTGCTTCAAACAAACCTCTAAAATTCGGTCAAATTTTATGTATCTTCTAGAAAGGTAGTTACTGGTGCTATAGCGTCAACTTTCTTCTGGCCCGTCGGTGGCGCTATGGCGCCAATGGGTGGCGAGATAGCACCACACAATAATCTCCATTTTTGCTCCATTTTTTACTTGATGTCTATGTCATGTAATTGAAACAAAAAACATGCAAAATAATTCCTTTGAAGTGTAATATCATTAAAAATGTGCATAAAATGACCATAAAATGTACACTAAAAACATATCATTTTTAGGTGGATCTGCTGTTACATTAACTAGATATTAAAAATGTTTATTAATAATGATATTAAGGAAGAGGTGCATATGGAGATACTTCTACAATTAAAGAACACAAGTAATTAGTTTATGTAAACTAAAGAAATCATTATATAGGTTGAAACAATTTCACGGAGCACGATTTCAAAAGGTTCACCCAGGCTATTCTTGCCAATTTTTTTTCGACCCCACTTTAGTAATTTTCACAAGAAGTTTAGGATGTATGACATATACAATACAACTTGAGGGGGAGTGTTCATATGCACACGGTTTCCTAAACCGTGGGTCCGCTATTATATATACCTTAATAATCTATTATTGTATTTTTATTTCTTTTCTTTGATGATTTAAATTTCCCTCTAGTTATAAGAGGGTTAGTCTAAGACATAAATTAGCTATTGGCTGAATGAAAATCAGTAAAGTTTCTCCTAAGTTCAACTATATGGTCTTAACCTGAAAGCCCCAACTATGATCTTAAAGCCTTCTTAATGCTTTGAAGCCGGCATTATGATATTTTCGCTTTCAATTATTTTATCAGGAAGCAAAGCTTAGAAGTGAGCTGCAAGAGGCTGCAGACTTGTACGCGAGGCTTTTGGCTGAAGCCAGGATGACGAGTGAGGTTAAGACTGAAAATTTTGACGGCTAACCGGAGCGGTATAGTTCATCTGAGTTTCATGACCGGCGGCAAACTTTAACCGCATCGGCGACTCTACTTTTGCAAGCTTGGGGTCGTTTAATTGTATTGGCCGTCTCTTTTGTGTATTTATTACAATTTAGCTCCAGAGGGTTTCATTCTTTGTCATATAAAGGGAAATTTTTTTCATTATAGGTTGAGGGCTTTTCACACGTATTTGTTCCCCGCAGTTTTTTGATGATACTGTACATTATATTTTGTTGTTAATAGAATGTGATCATTCTTTTGCAATTTGTGGGTAAGTTTTTTGAACCTCATACTTGAGAGTCGAATGAATCAGCATTTCTTTATCAATTAAACTAAATTTTGCAATTTCTTTTCCAGTTTTTGGATAAATGTTTTTTAAAGATTTTAAGATTAAATTATGAAATTTCTTGGGAAATTCACGTTGAAAAACATAAATTCATTATAAACATGGAAGAAATTTTATTCAATTACTTTTCGCGTTTGTAGCTTCTGTGACGGACAAAATTAGAGAAAGTCATCTTAGATGGTTTGATCACATTAAGCGTCGATCATCTGATGATCCGATTATGAGAGAAGATGTTTTAGATTCGATTTGTGTTAAGAAAGATAGAGGTAGACCTAGGAAGGCTTATTGTATTAAAAATGATCTTAATTTATTAGAACTAAATGAAAATATGACACTAAATGACACACTAAATAGGATACAATGGAGAAAAAGGATTCATGTAGCCGACCCCACATAGTGGGATTAAGGCTTTGTTGTTGTTGTTACTTTTCGCGTTTGTAGAATTTGATCATTAATGTTGGCAGAGTATGAAGACCATGTAATAATTACCTAAACGTACTATTGGTCTTAAACTGTTTATAAAGGATAAAAATAGAGCCGAATAGAGCTCTTTTTCACGTTATCCATGTTGTGTTCTGTTTGATCCCCTAAAAATGAGAGAATATTGTGTGGATAATGCACGTAATATTTCTTCCTAACAACGAGATTTTGTAGTTGTTGCCATTGTGAGAAGCAACAACCTGATAACAGAACTTGCTGTATTCATTATATGGGGAAGAAAGCATCACCCCTTAGATGACAGGCTTTCTGACAAGTAAAGAGAATACATGATTTGTGGGCTGACCGTAGTACCTGCTATAATTGGCAAACACGCCCTTGTGTGCCTTCTGGCAGAGTATAAATTACATTTAGATATATGACATGTGCCAGTTTTCTTAAAATTAAATGCGTTGAGTCAGATACCTTCGACTTTGGCTTAGAAACATAAGAAGGTTTGCAATGTGATGGAATGTGTAGCACATTAATTAAAAATAAAGTGAAAAATTCAAATACATCAAATTTGAGTGTTCCAACTTCCCCAAGTGTGAATATGAGCTTTCCCCTAAACAGCTTATATAGTTAGTGGTTAACCAAGTAAAGCTTGTCATGTTTTGCCTCTTTTAGCATGACAAGAAAGTCTCTCTCTCTCTCTCTCTCTCTCTCTCTCTTGAATCATCCAGTCGCAGCCAAAAAAATTTTTCAATGAGGACACAAATTTGTAATTCTAAAAATAGCCTCAATATTTTTTATGCAAACTTGAGATTGGTATTGATAATTTTTTTTTAAATATTAAATTGATAAAAAAAAAATATGAAAAATTACTACTACTTTAAGCAGTTGTATAATAACTTTATTATCTATATTATTATCATTTTATTAAATATTATAATATGAAATGTCTATAACATTTTTTAGACATAATATAGTACTTATGAATTTCATATATTTTTATTAACATGTATAAGAATTATAAAGTAATTATATTGTTAGTATTGTAAAACACTAAATAAGTTTCAATTAAAATTTCACTTTAAATTTTATTTAAAATTTTAATTTAATTTAAATAAAACATGACTAATAAATATTTTAAAGTTAAATTAATTTATTTACTATCAACTAAAAACCAACTACGAAAATCATATTAAGAAAATAACTCTATTTAAAACTCGTGAATAAGCTCGACAAGATATTCAATTAAAATGTGGATACACTTGAAGTAAGATATAAATTATATGTAATATTTTAATTAAACTTAGATAAAATAAGTTCAATTAATTAAAATTAAAATTGTTTTTATATTATTAGGCTAAATTATAAAATTCATTCAAATTTCTCAAAAAAAACTAAATTAAATTAAAAATACAAAAAAATTACTGAACTAGTGCCTTTTTTTGTTTATTTATTCTTTAAGATTATTTACATACATACCACTTTATTCCTATGCATTTACATGTCCAAAATCTAAACTTTAATTTTAACATATATGTAACCTTATCTAAGTCTGAAATTGCGTATTTCATTATTTAAAAATTAAAATAATTATATTTTTTCGTGTTCTAAAACTTTGGATGGTATAAATGTAAAAAAGAAAAAAAAAATAGTTCAGATCTTAGATATATAAAAACAAAGGAATCGAGTCATTTATATGTAAATGCATCAAATATATTAATGTGGTTTCTCTTTTCACCTTTGCCTATTTGTCTCACATCATAGGGCACACATTTTCTGTCTGGACACCTGACGTATCTCTACGTGCGGTGCATGTTATTCCCGAGTTATTTTCAAATTATTTTTGAGTTATTTTCAATAATCTTGAAATAACACAGAAATAACTCAAAAATAAAGATTGCGGGTTATTTCTAAATTATTTCGGGATTATTGAAAATAACTCAAAAATAACCTGAAAATAACTCAGGAATATCCTGCGCTGCACGTAGAGCTACGTCAGGAGTCCGCACAGAAAAATTTTTGCATCATAGGACAAAAAAAGCAATATTGCTCTTTAAATTAGAAAGCGGAATTAAATCCACGTAGCAGTTGCAAAACTACAATAACAATAATAACAAAACATAAAAACTAATGAAATATCCTCTCTATCTTCTAAAGACCCCCCTTAACAAGTATATAAATAAAAATAAACTACACCTCATGCCTATTGAAAACACATAACAATACGCACCCCATCATAATAGATTTATTGCACCATCATTTAAAAAACATCATCTTGCACTAAGCCTGGAGACAGACATATCTGCCGATATCAGCCTCGAGCTCTCTCCTTCAAGAGCCTCCATGGGAGACACATCTAAGAAGGGGGGATCGCTCAGCACGAGCTCTTCGGCCTCCCCTCTGTTGCTCCTCAACATCTCCACCACCCTCGACATGGTCGGCCGGCTATGCGGGTCCGCTTGGGTGCATTGAAGACCTATCAAAATCACTTGGATTACATCGTCGCTCACATTCTTGTTGTAGATTCTGTTGTCGATGACGTTGTCCAATGTGTTCATCTTGTAATGGTTCCATACCTGTTAATGGCGAAAGTTGAGTCTTTGAAGATTAAGATTAGTTCCACTTGATTCTTGTGTATTTACAAATGTAACATATGAACTTCAATTTTTTACATATATGCAATCTTATGTATGCATGCAAATGTGTATTTCACTTCTTATCAGTTAAATTAGTAGTATTTTTTATGGATATGCAATATTTGGATGGCATAAATGTAAAAAAAAAACAAAGTTTAGGTGTTAGATATGTAAATAAATAGAATTTGCGTGGCATAAAACGAGGTGTTCATAACCAGACAAAACCAGCATAATTACCTAAAGTCAATCATTAGCCTAACAAATGCATATGCTCATTGCAATTAAAAATAAAAGACATACCACACAATTCTTATGTATTTACGTAACTAGCACCTATACTTCATATTTAATTGCACATTTAAGTGAAATATATCTTTCCATATAAAGATTTATGACTTCAAAATGTTATAAATAAAGGGGGTACATGCATACCATACAACTCTTATGCATCTAACACTTACATTTTCATATTTACTTACATGGCACTTAAACAAATCTTTAATATTACATCAAAAATATTACCATTCTTAACTTTTTAAAAGTAAAATTTACCCGTTCCATGATAGATTTATGACACCAAAGCTTTATAAAGATATACATGTCAAACTTTTAAGCGTTAGATATGTAAATATAGCTTTTTCTTCATAAAATTTGAAGTACCTTTGCTAGAAGTGAATGCTCTGCATGAGAACCAACTGGACTACTGCATCGTTTTCCGGTCACAATTTCGAGAACTAAAACACCGAAGCTGTAAACATCTGCCTTCTCAGTGAGATGCCCATGTACAATATACTCTGGAGCAAGATAACCCCTGAATACAGTGCAGAAACATGAGTTATTTACTCTTCCCACACACAGATTTTAGGGAAAAATATAATGATAATAATAGGAAAATATAAAATGGCCATAGAAAGAGGAGAAAAATGATCCCTCATCAGTGAGACTTCCTTATTTTTTAATGGTAAGCTCAATCATGAGCACAAAATAAGGAAGCGAGATCATCTTTGATCTATTAATTACTACTTAAAAAAAAACTAATTATTTTTAGGAAAATTTACACGCATGATGCTCAATTCTTATGTATTTATATATCTAACACCTAAATTTCAATTTTTACATATATGTTACATTACCTATGCATGAAAAATGTGTCTCACTTTTTAAAAGTTAAAACAGTAGTATTTTTGACGTGATGCGAAACATTTAGGAAGTATAAATGTAAAAAGCAAAGTTTAGATGTTAGATATGCAAACACAACAATAGGGAGGTATGTATGTAAATTCCCCTTATTTTTATAAGAAATTGCAGTGGTAAGGTGGACATTTTTATACATTAAGCCTACTTTAGGGAGAAAGAAAAATCAAAGTAAATTCCTTTTAACAAGCACCATTCTTACAATGTTCCCGCGATCCCAGTGGTAAGGTGAGTTTGATCCTGAGCGAAGGATCTCGCGAGGCCAAAATCTGTAATTTTGGGTTTAAGCTTGTCATCCAACAGAATATTACTGGCCTTTATGTCTCGATGAATAATCTTCGTGTCGGACTCATCATGGAGGTAAGATAGACCTTCTGCAACCCCTTGAATGATATCGAATCTCTGCTGCCAGTCCAAATGTTTATCACGACTCTCATCTGTTCCAATGTGTTAATGAGAAACCAAAATATAATATTTTTAACATGAACATTTATTATTGTCACTGCTTTCTTGTTATTTTTCAAAAATTTATATGGTGAGAAGCAGCTTTTGAGACAAGATCTACTTAAGAATGCTGCTCTTAGATTCTTTTCAAATATATATAACTCAACCTTTTTTGCTAAATTCATATATTTGTACATAATATATTCATGTTAATCATATATATATATATATATATACCTATAAAAGCTTTAAAAAAATTAATTTCCTCACAACAGCTTTACAATCACTTCTATAAAAACTTGCAAAAACCTCAAGTTCCACATGCAAAATCATATTAATATGATGTAGAAATAAACATCAAACTCAAATTCAAATTCTTCTAGCACAAAGTTCATGAAAAAATTTAAGCAAATTACCAAATATAAACAGATCTAGACTCCTGTTGCTGTAGTACTCATAAACAAGCAAGCTCTCAGAGCCATCTAAACTGCAGCCCAGCAGCCTCACCAGATTCTTGTGTCGAACTTGGTTCACCAAATCAACTTCATTAAAAAATTGATCGATCCATTGTCTTGTATTAAGAAACAGCTGTTTCACAGCAACTTCTTTTCCGTCGGAAAGAACTCCCTGAAAACATAACAAGCTTTCAGGAGTGTAAACAATTCATTGGTTATATTTAATAAGGCACCGTTTGTGATTACTTTTATTTCTTATTACTGTTTTTTTTTTCAATTTGTTTTGTTAGTGTTTTGTTTCGAAACAAAACATGTTTGAAATATTTGATTAGGATATAATTGTTTTTAAAAACACTTATAACACTAAAAGTTATTTTTGAGTGTTTAAAAAGCATGTTAATTTCTTTTTAGAAATAATATATATATATATATATATCTGAAAAAGACACTAAATAAATATCTTTAAGAAAATGAAGGAAAAAATAAAAATAAAAACAAAAGCAAAATACAAAATCAATCCCACACATGCCCTGGAGTGCCACAGTTACCTTGTATACAGTCCCATAGCTGCCTTGACCAAGTTTGTTTGACAACCTAAAGTTATTTGTAGCTTTTCTCAAGTCTTCATATTTGAAATTTAGATTTGATTGCAAAATAACTGCCGCCATTTCTTGCCCGTACAAGTCTGAAATAGAAAAAGTAAGTTTTGTGCTTCTGATTTCAATAATGATGGAGCTCATACTGCATACCTTTTAAGGAAGCACTCTTTTTTCTGCCCCATAAACCTCTTTTTTTAGCAATCAAGAGACCTACAAGTATTAAGAAGATGGCTCCAAGCAATAAACCGACTACTATCCATATAGCTTTACTTTTCCCTGAATGTTAAAGAAGATTCTAATAAGTGACCCCAAAAAATATAAAGAAATAAATCTTTTCCAGATCAATAATATTAGCAACAGTGCAAGTCAGAACAAAACGAGCAAAACAGCTGAATATAAATAAATCTTGTTTTATACACACACGCGCAAAAGCACACAAGCGCAGCGTACACGCACACATATGTTTCTTACTACTATTAATATAGGATGGACAAGGGTCTAAATGTAGGATTTTTAATGAAACTTAAGATGAGATGAACAACAACAGCAACAACAACAAAACCTTAATCCCACGTAGCTACATGAATCCTTTTTCTCCATTGCGTCCTATTAGTGTCATATTTTCATTTAGTTCTAATAAATTAAGATCATTTTTATACAATAAGCCTAAGTCTTCCTAGGCCTACATGTGCCTTTCTTAACATAAGTCGAATCTAAAACATCTACTCTTCAAATCGGATCATCGGATGGTCGACGTTTAATGTGACCAAACCATCTAAGATGACTTTCTCTAATTTTGTCTGGAGCTACACCAACCCTATCACGGATATATTCATTTGAGATGAGATGAACAATGAAATAAAAATAAAATTAACAATCTATAGGTTACAAACTCACAACTTCAGTAAAAAAATTGTTTCAAGGACAACAACTACTGCCTTGTGCATCTCAAAAGAAAGTTTAACAATCACTAAAAAAATTCCAAATTTTCACAAGAAAAGCAGCAACATACATAAAATTTACGCAATGATCAGATTTGTGGTTGAAAAAGAAAACTTGATATGAATCACTTTACAAAATTTCAATTTCGCACAAAAACAGCGACTAGAAAATTGAAGATAAGCTAAATTATAGAAATCGCCCCAAAGGGAAGGAGACTAGGCCTCACATCGGTACAATGAACATAAACGAATAATCCTTGAGCTTCTCATATTTGTTCAATAAGAATGAATTATAATCCCTGAGCTTCTCATAAAAGAATAATCCCAGTCTATCCTATTGCTTTTGCACTCAAAACTGGTCCATGCAAGAGCAACTCAGCTTCTTTGTAATTTTGATATTTTATAATTTAAAGGTCTCGAAAAACACTAAAACACCTAAATTTAAAAAGCAATGTGAACCATTAGTTGAAAATTAAAGTTAGATTAAAATAACTGAGCCCAAATAATAAGGATAAATCTAATGAAAAATGAAGAAGGTTATTCCACATTTAAATCAAAATCATCAAAATGTATATAAAATAGAAAACATAAGGCAAATATTTGGAATGCCATATAGGTTTCGCATCTATTGAAATGGTCATTTAAAATGAAATAAGATCCTTTTCAACATCCTTTATCTATCTCAAAACCACATCTCATAGAGATCAACCCATATAATAGAGTATAAAGTGTGTCTAATAGACATTGAAAACTAAAATGTGAAAAATAAAGTTTGGGGTGCCATTAAACCTCTACATTGTATTTTACATAAAAGCAAAGATCCAAATTTAATTAAGAAAATAAGAAAACATTCTTAGCAGCATTTCAAGTTTCAACTATTCAAAGCACTACATCACAAAGTGTAAACTAAGATTAAATAGCAAAATTAGTAATCATTCTATACAACAATTTTTTCACATGATTAAAAGTTAATAAACCTATGATATAAGGATTTAGACACCAGAACAAAAATACAATATGACATAAATACAAAATACACACAATATTGACATGAGCCACAAATAGTATTGGATGTGAAATTATAATATGTGTGTATCTTAAGAAACTAAGAAGCTTTTAAAAAAAATAATAATAATTCTAAATGGTATTTTTTTGCTCCTCTTCAAAGATTAAAAGCCTCCTATTAATTTTCAACTGCAAACAATTGTTCAATTCCCACCTCAAAAAACATGCCTAATACGCATGCTCATTATTTATTTATAATTTTTCTAATAGAATATAGGGTGCATGTTGCGTCCTACATATGCTAGCAATGCAAATTTTGAAACTAAGAAGTATCATTTCATCATAATCGATTGACAACAACATATTCATGACATACCGCTAGAACTCGAAGAGGTTTCATTTACATTCCAAAAAAGTCTTGTTGAGTATCTCATAAAACAACCAGCATAGAGTGCTCGTCCTTCTGTAGCCGGAGAACATGACAAAATTGCCGAAGAAGCGGCATCTAAACACGAGCTACAAAGGGCACTATTCAAGTTCTCCCAGCATTGAGCGAGAACATAAACGGTTGAGTTCAAATTCGATGCCGAACCAACAGCAAATCCATGACTATTTTGTGCTTTCAAAGACACATTGCCGACAGCCTCCTTCACCGCTTGACCAAAAATGATTGGATTTGAATTATTATTACTAAAAGAACATATTGCTGTATCATTTCGCGAAAATATCTCATTAAAAAAGGTGTAATTTTCATATCTCCCAAAACACCCATCAAGGAAGAGTGTGCCACCAGTATTTGGATAACATTTAGGCAGCTGAGATCTAATCTCCGAGAAGCACAGCTTACAATCTATTGAATTAAGGTCTCCATAACACTGAGCAAGAGCACAAACTGCATTAGGGTCCACCCCAGTGATGCTTGTTCCATATCCATTCGCATTAACATGACTGCTTAGATTATCCATTGAAGGAACAAAATTGTCTGCAAGAATAGCACCATTGGCGGCTAAAGTGTTATTGCAATACTGTGCGACAAGACTAGTTCTTGGATCCGCCATTGCAAGCTTTAAGAAGCTCAGCGATATGAGCGCGAGGCTGAGAGTCTGGATGTGTGCCGCAGGAGCCATTGATGGGATTTCCAAGATCTATACTGTAGAAAACTGAGAGTCCAAAAACTTACACTAAAGAATGGGGCTTGCCCTGAATATTAAACAGAAGGTCAACATCAGGAGATGAAACCTTAAGGGGACCTAATTTCCCCTATAAATTCAACAAAATTCCTTCATGATTGTATAACTTTAAATGTACGGTATGCTTGCTGTTCCTGAAGACATCTGTTGTACAAAAAAAGGTAAGATTTATCAGAATCGAAAGCAAGAAAATTAGATACACAGATAAAAACTCCACAGCATCGCTTAAACAAGTTCGGCCAACTACCATCGGCACAAAACCATTAACAAACAAAAATTCTCCATAAAAGCAGAGCATAACACCAAAAAGTAATAACAAAGAACAAATAAAACAAGAAGATATCTCTAAAATCCGAACTTCTGTTACCTCTTCAACATTAACCCCAAACAAATCACGTAGATAGATCAGAATTTATAGAAACATGCTGGCAGTACTTCAAAAACCCAATTTTTATCAAGCCTGGGTTTAGGGATAAAAAAGAAAAAACCAAAACATGAATCTAATTTGGCAGGTGAAAGAAGAACACAGAGCGAATGAAAAAAAGACTAAATTTTTGCAAGTTTCACGAGACAAAAAAAAAAAAAAAAGTTTGAGAGCTGCTCGTGAGCTAATAATACCTCTGAATCGCCACTGATGATATCTCCATGGAGAAACGAGAAGCAAAGAGAGAAGATAACCAGTGAAAAATGTATCTTTTCCTTCTTCTAGAATAGCGACACGGATAATCAGAAGGCTACAATTATGTCCATTTATCCGACTCCTGAAGTCCTCTATGGCTATGTTTTTCTTCCGCGTTGTCGGCCCGCAAACTCTGGCTATGTGTGGGCCTGTGGCTTTGCGGAAGAAAACTGTGTATCATATTATTATTATAATTATTATTATTGTGGTTGTTATGGTGGTGGATCATATTTGAGGTTAATATGATTTTATGTCTTGAATATATATCAATCAAAATTATATCTTTTTCATATGTATTTCTTGGATAATGACTGAGTAGAAAGGATGGATTTGAGAAAAGTCATAATGCTTTTTCATTAGTATAATTTTACATAATATATATATATATAAAGAGTTGACTTGGGGAGAAATTGCTAATTTTTTGGAGCCACATGTTTGTTTGATGTATTTTTTATATATTTTTATTTTGTTAAATACAAATTAACTTATTTTTCAAAAAATTAAAACTATTTAAAAGTTATTTTGAGTAGTTTTTAAAATAACTAAATATGTTGTAAAATATCAAACATGTTTTATTTCAAGTAAAAATAAAAATAAAATAAAATTTAAAAATAATCCCAATCAGTTTCTAAGTCATTTTAGGGAGACCACTTGAGGTCTATTTTGAGATACCCCAAAATAGAAATTTTTAGACATGTGGTTGTAAAGTTATGATGAAAAAAATAATTTTTTCAAAAGCTCCGGTAGGAATTATAAATGTATTTATTAAAAAAATTAGGGTATAGCCCTTTTTTTTTTAAGTTAATGCACTTTAACATGTAAGGTTGAAAAACTAATTTCCCGTTATAGAAATTTATAGAAATCAACAAGAAAAACACTTCCTCAAACAAAACTATGGTTGTGGTATGAAATGCAAGATAGATAGAAAGCTCTCTCAAACAGACCCTTAGTCTTATTATAATTCACATTTTAACTATAAAACCACTATATTTGGAAATAATATCTTCCCTCAAATAATCTTATACAAATTTTATTTGTGTTTCGGAGAGCTTGATTTGGGTCCATTTGAACTCGAATCGAACCTTTTTGGAATTCACAAGTCTCACCATATTGAAATATGCTAATTTCGATTATAAATTTATCAAAAACGAACTTTTCATTATCCAAGTCAATTCTTCGAGTTTCTAATTAAAATAACTTCTGTAATTACAATTAAATGTTCTGAGTATTTGAAGCAGACCAAAATTTAATGATTTAACAAATTAAAAACATTTTAAATTTTCAATATAAAAATAATTTAGATATATATATATATATATTTTTATTGGTTAGCTGAATCTGAGATCGAGGATGAAAACGTGCGGTCAATATTAAAAGGAGTTCGTCAAAATTCGTGGAAGGAATTTCTTCGACTACCTTACTTTTTTGACTTGGTCTGGAGTCCCGACCGAACATTTTGACCTTCCTTTTATTTTATTTTATTTTAATAAATGACAGGGGATTTAATTTTAATATATTCATGAGAAAATATATTATTTTTATCAATTAATGTCGATAATTATAATTTAAAATTTATCCATGCATTTAAGCTCTGATTTTTATTTTTATTTTTATAAAATTTTCGTGACCACGTCAACGCACTTCAATTTTTTAAAAAATATCTTTTATAAAAATATATATTTATAATTTTAGGGTTTAGGGTTTTTATATATATATATATATATATAATTTAAGACTTGATTCAAGGTGGAACTCCTTGACTTCAGAAGGCCTTTTCCAAACCTACAAAATAGGAGATCCAAAGAGCTCATCGACTGCTCAGAAGTATTTTTCTCCCCCTTGAGGGGGTGTTTGATAGCTTATTTTAAACATAAGGATTTAGTCATGAACTTAAATTAAATTCAGCCAAGCTTCATAAGAATGTAATTTAAGTCATATGCTCCGTTGAATCAGATCTTCTCTCAGTTAATTTCTTTTTCGACGTAATCTGATTCGTAGGCAGATTTAAGGGATTTATTTTGTCTCCGTTAAATCAGATCTTCTCTCAGTTAATTTCTTTTTCGACGTAAATATGTATATACTAATTCTGATTCGTAGGCGGATTTAAGGGATTTATTTCGTTGTGACCCGCAAGTTCCTTCTCCATCAAATATGGATTTGATAAATACAATTTATTGGATTTATTAAATCACATTTAGCGTAAATTGGGGATGTGGCCAAACACCCCCTTAGTTTAATACAAAAAATAACTAGAATTTTTTTAGCAGTAGAAGAATTGAATGTCTTATATCAGCATAATTCTTCAACAAACAAACATATAGTGATGTAAGAGAACCAATTTTGTTTATGTGAAAAAGCTCTAGAAATTGAATACACCACAGCGTTTGACCTAGTTAAAGTAATCCACTATAAAAATTGGAAGTAGATATTCACCATTCTCTTAGAATTAGAAAAAATGAGATTATAAAAATCAACAATCACAAATTTATAATAGTAGTTTGGCTACAGCTGTAAAAAGTCAACTATAAGAGTTATAGTTGATGGCTACAATACAAAGAGTTTGCAACAAAAATCATAGTTAGTAGTTAAGACAGTTGTAGTTGGTTACAAAAGTTGTAGTTAGTGGCTACAACGCTAGTAGTTGGTTGTAATAATTGTTGGTGGTGGTCAATAATAGCCTGTGGTAGTTGTTGGCAAACTCTGGTGTTTGGCAGTGAACTTTAGTGACCGACACAAACAACGTCGAAATTTAGAGAGTTAAGTTTATAAGTCAGCTTAATTTTTTTTCCTCCCGACTTTCAAGTGAAGAATAGAGTTCGAATTATAATTATTTAGAGGGACATTTTATTAAATTTAACAAGAATATCAAATCACTTAATTAGGCGGTCTATATTGATTTCTTTTATCATGGGTCATTTTTTTTCATTATTTAAGTGCTTTAATAACCTTGAAATTGGATGATCTTTAGCTTGTTGGATTCCTCTCTTTGACCCCTCTCGATTGGCCTATAAACGTGCTAAATTTTGTGATCGTTCAGTCATCCAATTGATACACCAATACATTCAACTACACTTCAAGAATAATGATATGTGATTATTTGGACTCGGATTGAATCACTTTCAGAGTCACTGAGTTCATCTTATTGAGATGCTCAACTTAACTATAAACTAAGAAAAATCGGAGCTTAGATGATCTTGAATTTGAATTTGGAATGTTTCCAACTCAAAATGCATTGAGATTTCATGCCCAGTGATAACAAATTTTTTGAACTCGCATCAAGTATATAGGTACATATGTACAAGTAAAAGGAAAAAAAATTGAGAAATTAAAAAAAAAATTCATGAGAAAGTAACAAATTAACAAAAATATGCCAAAATCAAAATTTTAGAGAATAAATGTGATATAAGAAAAAAATGCAGCATTATGCAGTCTACATGGTTTCGTACTCTTATCGCTGTTCTGAGATTTGTTTAGAATCAACAAACTAGTTATTTTTGTTGATTTGAGTTCACGAGTGATACGATATTAAAGATGATTAATTCTTGTATTTGATTAATAAGAGTTGTTAATTAGTATTAGTGAGAGTCTTGCACCTCTATAAATTGGTTGCATTTGGAGACATGAAAAATGAAAAATGATGTGACTAGTTCCTCTTCTTAATATTTTTTTTCTTCTTCCTATTCACCTAATTTTTGGAGTTGTCGACATCCTCGAATTGCCTTTTATCTTTGTCTAATCTGAGTTTTAATTCTCTGTTTCTATCCCACATAACTTTGGGAGTTTTTGTCATCCCTTAATTGTCGATTATCAAGATTAAAGAGAAGGGTTCATATAATTGGCGCTTTCATTTTAAAGCGGTGGTTAACGATAGGATATTAAGGATGATTAGTTCTTGCATTTGATGAATAAGAGTAGTTAATTAATATTAGTGAGTCTTATTATTCTATAAATTGGCTCCATTTGAAGGCATGAAAATTGAAAAATGGTGTTGTTTTCATTTCTTTCTTTTTTTTATTTTTAAAGGAATCGTCAGTTTTTCCATCGTCATATGCTTCCCTTTCCCAAATATGTTTCTCTTCCGGAACATATGAATGATCAAGTGAATAAGGGAATTGAAAAAGTAGGGCATACAACAAGGGCGAACAAATAAAAGAAATAATGTGCAGAACTTTCATGCGTCAAACCTTGCAAAGATAAGTCAAGCATATACGTCTGAATATGATCAGATTGAAATAACTTGTGTCGAGTATTCACAAATGAATACCTACAAAAGCTACCCACAACCAGAGATTCAAATGTGTAATCCTATTATAGGATCCATAGTACTCCCAAGGGGACGTATCCCACTTGATCAATTTTATCTTGGGGGTTGCCCAAGAATATTCTTGATCCAGAGAGTTATGCTTACATTTAAGATGATGAATAGCATAGAGGATGGTTAATTCGAATGGGAATGCTTTGATGTTACAAAGCTTTCGCTAAACCATGAGACAGAAAGTGAGTCTCTGATACACCTAAAATATATAGTGTTTTTATACACGTTTTATACCTATTTTTTTGAGATATTGCACTTTCATGAAATGTATTTGAGTATTTTTCTTGTAGATACAATCAAATGGATGAAAATGCTAAAATGAGTGAAAAAATGTCAAGTTTGGAGCAAAAATGAAGAAATGTGCAAAAATGAACTGGGGGGCCTAAGCGCGAGATGATCTACGTCTAAGTGCCAAGTACCTCGTGCTTAAATGCCAAAGTTAGTTACTTGAAGAAATACTTAATTGGAGTGAAATTTTGAAGAGGTGTTAGAAGCAACCCTTGATAAAAACGTGGGAAATAGCTCATGGACACGAAAATTCATTTAATTGGCTTATGAGGAGTCAACTTGTAGAAGATTTATTGAATTGAGACACCTTTTTAAGAGACACCAAGACACCCTTTGGGTTTTTATAAGAAAAGACTTAGATTTTCCAAGAGAAATGACCAGCAACCACCCACCAAAGTTTACAACCACCGCCGTCGCCGGCCACCTTTACTTTATTTTATTCTATTTTGAGTATTAATTTGTATTGTGAGAGAATGAAGAAAATTCAAAGGAACTTCAAGACATTTGGTGGAGAGAATT